AACTCATATCTTCAAGTAGTTGATGTTGAGAATCAACTGTCAAATATTAATATGATGAAAAACAAAGTTCTCAAAGCTGCTAGAAATAAGATAATGTTTACACCTCTACAAATTATGTTTCCTAACCTATTAATTTAAAGATATTTTTTTTTAAATTTTATATCTGGAATAGTAATAGTTATCTATATTGCTGTTCTAATGACATTATAATATTATAGTTGCCTTACAATGATTCAAATTGTGGTCCACTGACATCCAGTTCTTTAAAAAAGAAAAGTTATGATTCAAATCATAACATGATGCTACCAGTTTCTTAAATGTTATATATTTTCTTAGCTTATAGAAATTTAATTTAAATTTATAAGTCTAATATAACACTTAGTTGAATCAAAGTATTTCAATTTCTCAGCTTAAAATTAGTGGAGACTGGGTACAATTGTAACATTTTCCATACTATTATTTATTTATGGGAAAATTTAAACTTTTTAGCATTGATCTTACACTCAATTTATTCAGTAACTTGTAATCTTAAAAAATATATATAAATTGAACATTAATTGAATAGGTGAATCTGTAAAATCTGATCTGAAAAAAAAAATGTTACAATTGTACTCGGTTCTGGGTCAATTGTAACAGTACTAGGGGACAAATGTAACACAAACATAATATATTAATCAAAATTAGATTTTTAATAGTATAAACCTTTATTAATAAAAATAACAATTAAAAAAACAGTGGTAGAACATACCTAATATAATAATAAATTACAAGTTATAATATTTTTATAGTTTGAGCCTTTATAACAAAATATAAAAATTTAAAAATATTAGTAAAACATACTTAATAAAGTAATAAAATAATACAAAGATTATTAAAAGATTATAACTCTTAAAAATAACTAATTAAAACAATATCAGTCTCAATGTTACAATATTAATAGTTAAATATTATCAGCCTCACAGTTATCACAGATATAAAATACAGTAAAGTCGTTTTTAGTACAAGCTTCATGAGACCAAAGTTTGCACTTATGACATTGAATCCATGATTCTCCACTTTTACTTTTTGAATAAAGTTCTGAGCAAACCGTATAAAAAGCATCATCATCTTCATCAATTTCATCAACTATCTTATTTTTCTTTTTAGCTTTGGATGTTTATTTATTTTTTCTAGCCTTTGTATATAATAATTTAGCAATCTTATTTTTTTTTGTTAGCATTTTATTCAATTTTATTTTTTTCTGGTGTGTCTGTTAGTATTTTAGTTGTTCCTTTTTTTTCCATTTTTTGTGCCAATTGGGCTTTAGGATATGGTCTAATACTTTCAGGTGATATAGTTATTGGTTCTTGACTTAATGTTTTAGTTATTATGTTTGTTATAACTGTTTCTGTGTTATTGGATGTTTCATTAGGTTGCATATTATCTGTACTATCTAATACAATGTTTGTAACAGTTGATGGTGCATATTCGTCATCATCAAACACATTTCTATTGAATGGCCACACATCAGACACAGAAAAACCATTTATAATATTTTTTGGTGTAGCTGCGTTTACAAGGGCATAAGAAGTAACAGAAGTCAAATCATATATAGTAAACCTTTTACCAGGGTTGCTCTTTATCCAAGAACCCATTTCTTGGTTAATTAATTTTTTGAATGGACCAAACACTGACCTGTCTAAAGGTTGAAGTTTGTGGGAACAATGAGGGGGGAATGAAAGCAACACAACACCATTTTCTCTATAATAATCAATAACTGGTAGATATAAATGTGATTCGTGGTTATCTAACAGTATCAACACCTTTTTTTCTTGTGTGGGTCTTACATGGTTTACAAAATGATGTATACATTTTAAGAATTGGTCTCCTTGCTTCCACCCTGATTTATTTGATGTGCCTACACACCCTGGTGGTCCTCCTCTAATAAAATGATCTTTATAATTCACTCTTGGAAAAACAAACATAGGTGGTACAGTATTTCCCAAAGCACTTACTGCTAACACATTGTAACCAATGTTCCACGTTCAGATGATGTAATTGCTCCTACTTGTTTTTTTTCCTTTTTGTGCTACTATTTTACCAGGAATTTGTGTAGTAGTTATCCCACTTTCATCTAAGTTATATATCTGATGTGCTTCAAATTTATATTTCACAAGAACTGAATTATATTTATCCATAAATGTTTTAACATTTACTGGATTGAAGTTCATTGCCCTAGCTAAACTTGTAGCCTCTGGTTTTCTTATGGATAGAGTATTATTGCGTTTTAAGAAACTAGAAAACTAATCATCACCTGCAAATTCATATTTGGTCCAACTAGGTGGTATTTTTTAATTTAATTTAATTGCAAATTCATAAGCAAGTTTTTTCACGTCTTTGGTGCTCAATCCAAAGTACATGTCGGCACAATTTTTAAAGTAATTTGTTAACATTGATTCTTGTAAATTGTTAAATATTCGGGTGTGAGGGTGATAACCACATTCAGGTAGAGGACCACCAGAATCACGATGAGCTTTCAATTTTTTTATGTAGCGATTTAAATTTACATGAAAATTTCAAATTGATTTGCAACTGATCGTTCAGATTTATTTTCTTTTATACAGATTTCTGCAGCTTTCTTTATGGCTTCAAAATCATTACCTCTATTTATTGTTCTTTGTCTTATTCGTGGCATGGTTATTACCTATAATAAAGATTAATGAATAACTGCTTCTTACAAATATAATTTTAATAAACAATAATAAAATGTTACATTTGTCCCCCCGTTTAACTGTTACAATTGTCCCCAATCAATATTTATGTAAGAAAGTAAATATAAAAAAAAATACTACGCACAGACCAGACAAGACAATCAAGTATAAACGTATTTTATTATTTTTCTGATAAGGACAATATTATATCACCGTATTGATGAAGGGGAACTAGTTGCTATTACAGTGGGACAACTGTCATATTTTAAAATCGAACCTAGAAGAGAAAATCAATGATGTTACAATTGTACTCCTATATTGGTCTCCCCTATATTAAATTATATTCATTATACAATTTAATTTATGGAAATAGAACGTTTTGTAAAAATGTTGTTCAAAACATACTATTTGTGTTAATCAAAGCAAAATGTACTTTTTGTTACAAATAGTACGTTTTGAACCAATTAAAAATATAACATGCTATATTTAAGTATAAAAAATACATTTTAAAATACTTTTACCTACAGAAATGTATTTATTAGATTTTTATCTATTTTTAAATATTTTAACAACATTTATATCTCAATTATTTAATATACAGTAGAAAATGACCTCTCCTGAAAAATATGTAAAATTCAAATGGTACGTTTTTCATTGTCGCCCCACAATTATGTTCTTGATGTTCATAAACAATAGCAAACAATTTAAAAAAAAAAACGTTCTCATTACATCCAGTTTTAAAATAATACCTATTATAATAATATGTTAAAAATATGTTCTTAAAATTTTGATGGCCCGCGAAAATTTTTCAGATTCCTAATGTAGTCCTTCAAAAATATTAATTGGTAACTCCTGATGGGGAATTATTGATTCCGTCGAAACTACCTGTTTAGGAAAAATGTTTGTATGGATTCCGCCGGCAATTAATTCCGTTGGCTACTGTTTAAAATATCTACATATCGATTCCGCCAGTTACTGTTTATAATATCCACACATCGATTCTGCTGGACACTGTTTATTCCCCCCTTGTATATGTATTTTTAAATATATAGCAGCGGTTTCCAAATATTTTTATTGTTGTGATAACATAAATCAACAATAAATATTATTAAATTTCTATTTAAAGTATTACAAAATTTTTAATTTTTATGAAAAAAAAAAAAACAATAATTATAAATATTAATATTTATTAAAATATATTAAAATGTATAGTCTAAATTGTATAAAATGATAATAATAATTGTATAAATGTATAAATCAAAATTAAAATCTATAATTTAATTAATATTATTTAATAATATTAATTAATATGTCTTACACATATACGACATAGCAAATTTTCGTTCACTAGCCGGCGGAATCAATATAAAATTGGCAGAATCGATATACGCCCCTCCTAATAAACACACAGGGAAAAATACGAATATAAGCAATATTATAGGAAAATACCTATTTGTATCCACCGCAAAGATTATTAAATTATTTAAAATTTAAAATGATGGTTACTTAATTATTAACGTTTCTACCATTGAATACGTAATATTTTTATTTAGTATTTAGATATTTGACACTACTTTAATCTAATATTTTTAATTAAATTTTTTGTCATCTAATGCTTTAAAATAATAATATATTTACGTTATTTAACATTTAACAATAAACAGTAGGTATTTAATATTAACTTAAATATGTTTTTAATGTTTTTATCGTAAATAACCATCATTTTATTATTAGAAATTAATTAATTTAAACAAATTACCTATTTACATTTAGGTATATAGTTAAAGCTAGTTATGTACGGTACGCATTTATCATAACAGAACCCAAAAAATTTTATTAAAATTACTATTGAATCCATGCAGACAGTTAATATGATTACATATAGTTCTACAGTTCATTTTAAGCTAAGAATTTAATGTTTAAATTTAAATACTTGTGAAAATTTAAATACTTGTGAAAATTTAATATTTAATTTAAATTTAAAAAATGTAAATGTAATTCTATTGTTTTTGTCAAATCACCGTTTGTTAAGAAATTTTCAACAAATATGAAAATCGGAATTTGAAAATAGAAAAAAATTAATTTATCATTTTATATTGGCTAAAAATCCATAGTAATTTAATACCGTAATATGTTATGATATTATATTTTAATGGTTATTATGTAATATGATTAATACTGTAGATGATATATTATAGATGCGAATTTTATATTTCATAAATAGGTGCTACAATAAAATATATTTTAACATATTTTATCGTTTAAAATCTAATAGTGACATTTGTTTTTATACTGTAGTTGTTTGGACTAATTGTATCTCAGCAGTTTACACCAATCACATCGATGTAAAATATCAACTCGCTTTGTTATCTTTCGACTGGCCGTTGAGAAGGGATGATAGTGGCCTGCGACCGGTAGCGAAACTAGTGTGGTAAGATCGTGACTCCTGTCCCATCCGGCTCACTGTCTTTGAGCAGCTGCTGAACGACAAACATCTGCGTTTCTCTCCTTCTCATCCGCCTTCGGTACTGAGTATTGATCATTACTGACGTCACTGCGCATAAAGTATTGTACCAACTTTATTTTTTGCGACACCGTCATCGTGTCATTATCGAAGTCGTTTTAATATCAAGGATTACTACGCATATTTGAAAGGTTAGTATCTTCTTTTTTTTTATTATTACTTTTATAAGTATTTATTTCTAAACGAAATCCGAAAAACGATTTTTATTTTCATATTCCGCATACAGGAAATTGAATGCGCGAAATTTTACCTTAAGATTATATTTTTAAATATTATTGTCGTTTTTCATTATTCATTCAGTTTATTTATTATTACTAGAGCTAGAATTTAAATGACCTAAAAAAATACAAAAAAATAAAAATAAAAATTACGCATACTAAATTATTATATGGCGAAACAAGTTTAGGTTTTGGTTAGAACTGTATAGAACTGTAAAATTCAAGTCATCAAAATCCTAGTTCTAATTAGGTATTACAGTACTAGCCATGAATATATTGAAATTTGAAGACAATAGTGCAATGGCTGGCCAGTTTCTGTTCTATACGATACTATTAGTAATAAACCCTTATTATTACGTATTGTTTATTAGTATTTTGAAACTATGATCAAAATTAAATTTAAAGAAACAGTAACGATTATATAAGTCAAGACCTAATATTATATATTTTATTATAATACTGTATTATTCGTTATTAGGCAATTATTATTGTTATTTTTGCCATCCGATATAGACCACAATATTTTAATTCTATCGCGCACCACTTTTCACATAATAAAATATGAAATATTAAAATAAAATAGTTGATAGGAACAACTGATTTCACACTATAATAATCAATAACGTCAATGAGTGTTTTATTTTTAAATTATTTAAATATTAAATATAAATATAGTACTTGGTTAAAATCAGGCACGAATCCGTCAATATTTCTTTGGGTAGGCTCGTAAATTTAACCACAAAAGATAGCACAGTAAAATTATGATTTAATTAAGAATAATTTTCATTTAGTCATAAATATTTCAATAAATAGATCCGCGCCTAGTTAAAATGTGAATCCAATATCAAACGTTGCTGCTTTAAGTTGTTCGAGTATTGTAACACAAACGGCTGTCGTGTTTTCACTTCTTACGCCGTACGTTGTCGCTGCAATATCGGCACTCGCTAATATATTATATTTTTTGTTTATATTTTCTCAAATAATAAAATAATTTTTGGCATTGTGAGTATAACCGCTGGATATTATATATTATGTTTGCGTGTGCGCTAATTGTCACTAATAAAATTAAATTATGAGCACGAATCACCACTAATAATTATATATTATATATTATATTGTACCTATTATTATTTTTTTGGCGTTAATCACCAAATTAATATCCTCACTAGTGTGAGTAATAACAGCCGTAAATTCTATATAGGTACTAACATAATTATTCATATCTTTATCATGCATTTTTTTTTATATGCTACCTATTATTGACTAGGATTAGGACTAGCTGGCCAGTCAGCATTCATAAATATTATGAGGTATTTTTTTTTATACATTATTATTATTTTAATTTTCTTAGGCTTTAGATGAAAATTGATTTGCTTACTATACGGAGCTAAAAAGACTTCAGTTTGTATTTTTACTAAATTTAATAACTATATTATTTATAAATATTGTTAATTTATTATTAAATTATATTTATTAATATGATCATAAAGATCTTTTCTTCACACTGTTATCTTATTAATTTTAAATTGTTGAATCGAAAGGGCCATATAATAAATTTATGTTATACAATTTTATACCTCAAAATCATTTAGATTGCTGTGATTTATATTTAGTGTCTTATGTAGTTCAATGTTCAATTGTACAGTAATGAAGTAGTAACTATCAAACCATTGTTAATATTTTCTCACAATTTTAAGTATCTACATACTCACACTCGCATACACACTTATACACTAACACACAATTTTGCACAACGAGTTTCACGCGTAGTTCGATAGTAATTGTCCGGTGATCTCGATCATTACTGTTCGAATTGCTACACCACTACTCATTTTATTATTTTATTCAAAGACTTTATGAGATGTAATTACCGAAATAAAATAATAAAATGATATAAATTATTATTACAGATGTCTGATCAAAGCCAAGAAGAAACATCCCCGGAAGATAGATTCGACCTCACCCGTTCGAACTTCCGACCAGCAATCTCGACAGTGGCTGACATAATCCAGGAACTACTGGACAGAGCGAGAGCTAATGTATTTATGGCTAGACGGCTAGCTAGACCATTTTCCACACGGGAAAACCGAACTGTGACTTGGCAGCTGTTAAGTAGATTACGGATGCGGAATCGTGGCACCCGAAGTCCAGTTGGGGGGGTGATTCCTTCGTCTGTGTGGGCCCAAGCAGCCTCAGACGACGAACTGCTAAGACACAATATAGTTCAGGAGGCGTTGAACCGATCATTGGTTGAAATTCCCGAAAGCGAATCATCCTCACCAGATGAGTCAATTCCGGAAAAGCCTGATCAGTCCCAAGCGCAACAGCAAACTAACAGGAGTCAACATCAGGATCACTACTCACCGCCCAACAGTTCAGCGGGTCCGTCATCCTCACATATGATGATGCCGAATCAACCGCAGCGTTTCACGACACCAGTGAATCGCAACTCACCGCCGATGCCCACACCATCCGACCGTTCAGCGGGTCCGTCGTCCTCAGTGATGGCGTTCCGGAATCAACCAGATTGTTTCACGACACCAGTGAATCGCAACTCACCGCCGATGCCCACACCATCCGACCGTTCAGCGGGTCCGTCGTCCTCAGTGATGGCGATGCGGAATCAACCGCGGCGTTTCACTATACCAGTGAATCGCAACTCACCGCCGATGCCCACACCATCCAACCGTTCAGCGGGTCCGTCAGCATCACAGATGATGATGCCGAATCAACCGCGGCGTTTCGCGACACCGGTACTCACACCGTCCAATAGTTCAGCGGGTCCGTCTGCATCACAGATGATGATGCCGAATCAACCACGGCGTTTCGCGACAGCAGCGGATCTCAACTCACCATCGGTGCCCTCAACGTCCAACCGTTCAGCGAGTCCGTCATCTTCAACGATGGCGATGCACAATCAACCGCGGCGTTACCCGACAGCAGCGGATCGTTTAGCCAAGCTGTATCTTAGCCGTGGAAATCGATCCGAAGCCCAACAAGAGGTCTCCGCCTCGCCGCCTGGGGCTGTAAGTTTACGGTTGGAAGTGGATCAACCGCAACGTTATCCGACAGCAGCGGATCGTTTAGCTAAGCTGTATCTTAGCCGTGGAAATCGATCCGAAGCCCAACAAGAGGTCTCCGCCTCGCCGCCTAGGGCTGTGAGTTTACGTTTGGTAGTGGATGAGGTGGAGTTGCAACAGCGGCGCAACAACGGCGGCGAAGTTACAGGCCACGAGGAGGAAATGGCTGATGGGGAACCGCCAGAGAACAACGGCGCGCTGTAATGGCAAGGCAGAGTTCCGGGGATTTTCTGGTGCATCGATCGATCTGACAACATCGGATGGCGTAATTTTCCAACGGCCGGTCGTCGAGCCGGAAACTCCAACAAATGATAGCTCAAATTATCATCTACTGTTAAAATTATTAATAATTATAATTATCGTGTATTGTTCATAAAAAAATACATTTAATTATTAATTATTATACGCATCTCGTTTTCTACTATAATTAACCATGTTACCATTCTTCCTTCATAACGGTGTGAAAATAACCATATTTCATATATGATTTTTATGTCATTAATCACAGTGACTTTAATTTTATTTAATGATTTTTTTTTCAATGCATTGTTGTTTATTGTGGTTATAGATCAATATTTAAATTTAAACGGTAAGAATAATTAAAGGTACCAACAAAATTAACGATGAATTCAAAAATTTTTCAAGCTCTGAATTATGTGTCTATGTAAGAGGTAAATTAATATTTACTGAGCATTTAAGGAGGAAAGTTGACAAGTCGGTTAACTATTCTCTCACCAAGAGTCAGTTTAAATAGTATTAATATAAATGATGCAAGTTCTACTATTAGTTAATAAATATGGTTTTGATAATAATTATATTTATATGACATTGCTAACTGTATATTCTATGCATAATATACAAAATTTGAATTAATTTGGTTTATTATAAATTATAATATATTAGCTTAGATATTTAGTATTAATTTAAAATTTTTACTTATTATTTTTTTTAATAAGTACTTAGGTATGCAGTTTTTTGTTGCATTTTTTAACTAAAAACTGCTTTGTGTAATTATAAAATAAAAATTTTTATTTAAAAAAAAATTGGTAAAATGGACGGTAGAAACGTAGTTATTAACAATCTAAGTCTACAAAGATAAAAAATAAATTACTATTTTATACAGTCTTTTTGGTACCTCAGCTAGAAGAACGAAAAAAAAAATTAAAAATATTGTATGGATTACGGGACTCAATTGTATTACAGATATATTATATTTAATTAGTAATTACCTATAAGCAAGGCTCCCCGCTAATTAAGATATTACCTAATTTTTATTGCATTTATTTACATTTTATATAGCGTCTTGGAGGACGATAAGGAGGACTGATAACTGATAAGGTGACACTTGCAATATTAAAATAAATAAATAATTTTTTTTTACGATGTGATATAAAAAACAGAATTTATGGTAAGTGTATTATTTTTCGCTGCCCCCTCCCCTGAGAAAAGTTTCTACGGGCGGCCTTGCCTATAAGTCATATAAATGTATAGAACTTATGTTACCGACTACCTTTATATGTATAAATGCGAGATTTAGCATCGTTACTATATAAAAAATATTAATTTTAATTACACAATACAATACATGGGTATATAATAGATGCGTATATTATAACTACACTATGATGGTATGAAAGATTCTGAACAGTTAATATTTTCAAGGTAGAATAGATAGATATTGTTAAATTTTAATATTCACATATCGCACATCGATAGGTACATGTTTCCATTTGGATTTACGCTAACTTTATTTATTCGCGCGGAGAGCAAACACCATTGACAAAGAACTGTGTAGATTATTATTAATAGCGTAACAGCGTGTATTATAATATCAGTTAGTTCAAATTAAATTAAAAAAAAAAAATGTATAAAACGTAAATCATTGTAGGCTAATAAACTTTGAATTTGAAGCTTTTTTTATTATTAGTAATAGCGTAACAGCGTGTATTATAATATAAAGATGAACATGTATAATACAGTCAACTCGCGGTATAACGAATTTCAAGGGGCCGAGAAAAAAATTCGTCATAACGAAAGTTCGTTACATCGAAATTCGTTATAGCAAGAGAATATACCAATTGAATTCGTTATAACGAGATTTAAAACAAAAATTCAAAATTTTATTATTCGTATACATATGTATAAAATATATGAGTCATATAAGTATGTATTTATTGTTTAATTTCAATATAAATGTATGTAATAATAATATTTCTTTTAATATGTACATATAATAAATCGCTATACATGTGTGCATTTATTTTTCAAAAAAATCAGATATTGCGTAGAGCCACTAATCGACATTAAGTCTTATCTTAATTGCGATACTGTACTTGAGTGTACTATCGCATGATAATCATCAGAAAAACCTCGTAATCTATTATGTGGTAATAGCGACATACTTATTTTTATATATTTTTCATAGAGTATTTTTATACACTAGAGACATGTATCTTATCTTAATTAGCATTAAAAATTCGGAACAGAAAGCTTTAAATTTATAAAAATTCGTTCCATCGCGAGATACGTAGTCATAATGTCGCGGTTAAAATGTCGTAAACACAAAAATATCGCGATGTCGAGAATATGAGAAATATAATATTAATATTATAATTAGGGTTTGGATTTATATGTATTTATGAAATCAAAATATGTAGTGAAAACCCAAACTATGTGTTTTAATAATAGGTATGATTTATTTATTAATATAACTATATACCTGTGATGTCAGTGTTCCTAATACAGAATGAGTACTAAGTTGAGTAGTTTTTGCAATATTTTTAAGCCTTGCCATTGTTTTTTTTAGCTTCAACTTTTGCAATATCGGCAACATGGTTATGTTCAGTAGTATGAACTACATTTTGTCCAGATGACAAAATCGACCGCGACATTTCTTTGTATTATACTCTATGCACTTCCAAATAATTTTATTTTCGTTTTCTCTTTCTTTTTTTTTTTTGTATACAAATAATTAAACTTGAGTAATTTTCCATTTTTTTGGTTTATTATATACTCAAATGACATAATGTATAGATTATATTATAGATTTTCTGCTATGGTTGTAGATTACACACTAACACTAACTACACACTAATATGTATATACTGAACTTTATTTTCGTAGGTATTATATGGTACCTACTTTAATCTAATCTAATCTTACCTACGACTGAACGAAAACCCGAACTACGAGCCACATCGGCGACTACATTGGCGATAATTACTAGCTGCGACATTTTTACCACGACATTTTGACGCGACACCCCAAAACACATTACATTTGTTCGTTATACCGCGATATTTTCAAGGGACCGGTAGTTTTATTCGTTATATCGAGATTTTCGTTATATCGAATTTCGTTATATCGCGAGTTGACTGTATAATATAAGAAAATAATATGGATAATAATAATACATAATATATAATTTGGTAACGTCATGATATTAAATTAAATTAAAAATTATTCATTAATCATTTATACAACAATATAATATAGATCTAAACGAGCAGAATAATTACTTAATAATAACATAAGCATTTTTTTGCACAGTACTTTTTTATTTAAAATTATTAATGCATATTGTTGGTGAGCATGTTATTTAGAAATTTGTTACTAACAAATTTATAATTAATTTCAAGATGATTTTTTTCTAAATGTTGGTAACATTTATGAAACATATTAAAATTAAATGGTTACATCTAATAGAATTTTCTTATTAGTAAAACAAAAATATTCTATCAAGAATCTTTTCACCATCAGTGGAAATATTTTTGTTTTTATTTTTGATATTAAATCTACTCCATCATATGTAATATAGAATATTTATACCTCAGTTTATGCATAATATTTAAGTTATGAAGATCATGTCCAATGATATAAAGTTTCTCATAAAAGTTTACTGTAGCTACTTAAAACAATTTAAGATGTATATGCAGGATTTTTATTTATAAGCATTTTAAGTTAAATTTTCAACAACATTCGTTAAAATTAGTAACAATTGTAAATAATTATTATTTGATTAAATATTTAATTTTCTATATTTAAGAATTAAAAATTAAACACAAAGTTTTTCATAAATATTAAATATAATGTTACTGAAAAATAATAAAATCAATATAACTTTTTTTTTTATAGATATTTTAAGTTCAAATTTGTATAAAACTAAAGACTTAAACGAAGAATAACGATTTCAATTTCTGAAAATTGAAATTAGCACGTTTATACATGTAAACACTTAATCTTTATAATTTTAGATATATTATAATATCAATTAATAAACTAACATTTTTAATTTATAATATTAACACAACAATAATTACTTTCAATGTATTTAAATATTGAATATAATAATAATTAATTGACAAATAAAAATTCAGTAATAAAAGTTTCGTTAAAATGTTAAAATTTGAAACATATGGTACTAACTTAGAATAGGAAGGACGTAAAAATGCTATATAAAAATGCTATATATAAATAGTGTATTTCATGATAATTCTTAAATTTAAGTAAACAATGAAACCGTTGTCTACAGTTGTAGATGAAAATTTCATGAAAATATTGAAAGGTAATTCGCTTGAAAGGTCTCGCCAATGTTATTCTTGGGCCCAATAACATTATAGCATATATATTATAATATACTGGTGAATGTATTGAGTATCTCGTTTAAAGAATGTTTTTTAAGAAAAATAAGTTATTGTATCTAGTGTTTTTCGGATTTTTATTAAAATAAAGTTTTTCCAATAAAGGGCTAATATCTTATTTACTATTGAATTATTTGATTATAAAATTTTAATTTAGATTTTTTTTTTTTTACGGTTTTTACGAAGTCATGTCAACAAATTCTAAAACTCCGTCATAACCAATGCTAGGCTTTCTTTTTACTCTACATTTGAATGAAATGAATCGTAAAAAAGAGTTTTGGTTTATTTCAGGTTTGAGTTATGGATTTGACAAATCAGATAAAAGTAGCATACCTACTAGAATTAAGATCGAAATGTAGAAAAATATTTATTTTTTAATGTGCGCGGATCGTTAAATTCTGATGGCATTTGAGAAACCTATAACCATTGAGAATGCTTTGTTTTTAATTTTATGAATACCTACTGTCAATAATTTTTCATTTAATATCAAAAAAAATTGCGGAATAGTGTGTTGATTTTAATAGCCAACGATTTACATACACGACTTTGCAAATATTATATGTATATAATATACGATTC